AGGAAATAAACGCTGGAGAAACCAGAAAATCCGTGGAGAGCCCGCAAAAATCCATGAGGAACCCCGAAAATCCCGGGGGAGCCCCAAAAATTCATGGAGAAACCCGAAAACCAATGGAGAAATGGCAAAAATCACTGGAGAACCCCCCAAAAAGGCTGGAGAAACCCGAAAATACCGGGGAACCCCGGAATTCTGTGGGGAAATAGTAAAAATTTCTGGAGAACCTGCAAAAAAACCGCTGGAAAAAGCCGAAAATCCATGGGGAACCCGAAAATCCCGGTGGAGTCCTGAAATTCCGTGGGGAAAAAAAACCAAAACGCTGGAGAAACGCGAAAATCCATGAGGAACCCTGAAAATCCAGGGGGAACCCCAAAAATCCATGGAGAAACCCGAAATTCCATGGGGAAACCGGAAAAATCCATGAGGAAACCGAAAAAGGAGCACTGGAGAACCCCAAAAAGGCTGGAGAACCCCCAAAAAATCCCTGGAGAAACCAGAAAATCCATCGGGAAAACACAAAAAGGCTGGAGAACCCACAAAAACACTGGAGAAACCCGAAATTTTATGGGAAAACCTCAAAAAAACGGCTGGAGAAACCCCAAAAACTGCTGGAGAATCCCAAAAATCCCTGGAAAACCCCACAAAAATCCTTGGAGACCCCACAAAAAAAAAACCCAAAACCGGGGGGGGTCCTGCTGTACCCCCCAAAATAAACTCGGGGTCCTTTTGTGGGGTGGGAGCAGGGGAATGGTGCAAGGAGGAGGAATTAGGGGGAATTTTTTGGGAATTTGGGGGATTTTTTGGGGATTTTCGGGAATTTGGGAATCGGAATTCCTCCAATCAGATGCTGGCTCACCGATGACGTCAAAACAAACCCAGTTTCGGATTTCCAAATTCCAATTTCCGGATCCAATTTCCTCCTTTGTTCCTGGATTTATGATTTGGGGTTTTGTTGGGTTTTGGGGTGTTTTTTGGGGTTTTTTTCGGGTTTTTTATTCCAGGGAATTTGGGGCAGGGAAAGGACCATAAATCCTTTTATGGGGATTATGGGGTGACCCCACTGGGCCTGGATTGGGATCCCCCAAACTTGACCCCATTCCCAGATGGATTTTCTTGGGATTATCCCTTGATTTTGGGGGAATTGGGATCGTTCTGGGCACTTTCAGCGACCCTAAATCCAGGGAATTTGGGGTGTCTTGATCCTTGGGGACACTGTGGGGTCAGGGAGGGGTCTTTGGGGTTGGGATCCCCCAAACCCAGCCCTATTCCCAGACAGATTTCCCAGGGGAATTGGGATCGTTCTGGGCATTTTCAGCGACCCTAAATCCAGGGAATTTGGGGTTTAATTTTTCATTTATGCTCAGTTTTGCTTTTCCCTTAATCCTGACCCCATAAAAAGATTGGGAATTCCAAGGCCAAAAACCCAACTCATCCTTGGGGACACTTTGGGGTCGGGGGGGCTTTTGGGATTGGGATCCCCCAAACCCAGCCCCGTTCCCAGACGGATTTCCCTAAGGAATTGGACACTTTCAGTGACCCTAAATCCAAGAAATTTGGGGTTTAATTTCATTTATGCTCAGTTTTACTTTTCCCTTCATCCCGACCCCACAAACAGAGCAGGAACCCCAAGGCCAAAAACCCAACCTGGCGTTTTGGGGTCACTTTGGGGTTTTTGGGGTCACCCCGTGCCCTCCTTGCAGGACTTTGGGGACTTTGCCCCCGGTGCCCGGGGCAGGGCGGGGTGCCCGGGGGGGGTTCGGGCACCTTTTCCCGCAGGGATTATCCCGATTATTCCCTGGTTAATGATTCCCAGGAATCCCAGCACCCACCTGCGAGCGACGGGTCCGACTGGATCGACCGCATTGCAGCCGGGTTTTATGGGGCCGCAGGGGATTTTGGGGCCGCGGGGGTTTTATGGGGCTGTAGGACTTTTTTGGGGGTCACGGGATTTTTTTGGGGGGGTCGCAGGATTTTTGAGGCCGTGGGGGATTTTATAGAGCTGTTAAATTTTGGGGGGTTGCAGGAGTTTTTGGGGTCGCAAAGGCTTTATGGGGCCATGGGGGCTTTATGGGGCTGTGAAACTTTATGGGGTTGCAGGACTTTTTGGGGTCATGGTGGCTTTTTGGGGTCGCAGGATTTTGGGGGCCGCAGAGGCTTTATGGGGCTGTAGGACTTTTGGGGGTCATGGTGGCTTTACAGAGCTGTGAGACTTTTTGGGGCTGTGAGACTTTTTGGGGTCACAGAGGCTTTATGGGGCCATGAGGGCTTTATGGGGCTGTAGGACTTTTTGGGGCAATGGGAGCTTTATAGGGCTGTGAGATTTTTTTGGGACTTTATGGGGCCAAAGGACTTTTTGGGGCCACAGGGTCTTTATGGGGTTGTAGGACTTCTTGGAGCTATGGGACCTTATAGGAATGAGGGACTTTATGGGGCCACAGAGCTTTTTGGGATCGCAGGACTTTTTGGGGTTGTAGGACTTTTTGGGGCCATGGGGGCCTTCTAGGGCTGTGAGCCTTTTTGGGGTCGCAGGATTTTATGGGGCCATGGGGGCTTTTTGGGGCTGCAGGGACTTGATGGGGTCATGGGGGCGTTTTAGACCACAGAACTTTTTGAGGCCATGGGACTCTATGGGGCCAAAGGACCTTTTGGGGTCACGGGGATTTTTGGGGTCGTAGGACTTCTTGGGGCCATGAGACTTTATGGGACTGAGGGACTTTATGGGGCCATGGGGTCTTTATGGGGCTGTGAGACTTTTTGGGGCCATGGGACTTTTTGGGGTCACAATAACTTTTCCGGGTCACAGGGACTTTATGGGGCCATGGGGTTTTTATGGGGCTGTGAGGACTTTGTGGAGCCATGGGACTTTTTGGGGCCATGGGGCTTTATGGGAATTTTTCCTGGTACAATGCGGGGCTCCCAGTTTGATGCTGGGATCCAGTGCCAGGTTCCCAGTGTGATCCCGGAATCCCAGTTCCGTGCTGGGATCCCAGTGCCACGTGGGGCTCCTGTTCCAGTGCCAGGCTCCCAGTTTGATCCCGGTTTCCCAGTTTGATCCCGGTTTCCCAGTCTGATCCCGGTTTCCCAGTTTGATTCCAGGCTCCCAGTTTGATCCCAGTCTGCTCCCAGTCTGCTCCCGGTTTCCCAGTTTGATTCCAGGCTCCCAGTTTGATCCCAGTCTGCTCCCGATTTCCCAGCGCTCCCAGTGCCAGCTCCCCGCTCTTTCCCCACTTCCCGGTGCCAGCCGAGCCCCGAGGGTGCCCAAACCTCCGCGGGGTCCGGGGGGGGAGGGCACGGCCACCACCCCTGGTGCCCAAAGTCCCCATCCCCTCTCCCCCATTCCC